GTTTGACAAATCCCTGGCAAATTTGACTAAAATGAGGAAAGACCCAAATCAATAAAATCAGAAATGCAAAATGGGAGATAACAACAAACACCAATGAAATTCAGGGAATCATCAGAGACTACTTTGAGAAACTCTATTCAAATAAATTGGAAAATCTTGAAGAAAGGGACAATTTCTGGATACTTATGACCATCCAAAGCTCAACCAAGATGATATTAACCACCTAAACAAATCTATAACAAGAAATGAAACTGAAGCAGCAATAAAGAGACTCCCAGAAAAGTCCAGGACATGATAGATTCTCTGTTGAATTCTACCAGACCTTTAAAGAACAACAAATACCAACTCTCCTTAAACTTTTCCATGAAAAAAGAAAGGGAAGGAATACATCCAAATGGAGAACTATTGGCCAATCTCCTTAATGAACATCAATGCCAAAATCCTCAATAAAATCTGTGAACTGAATCCAACATTATCAAAAAGATTATTCACTATGATCAAGTTGGATTCATCCCAGGAATGCAGGGTTGGTTCAACATATGCAAATCAATAAATGTAATACAGCATAGTAATGGAAGTATAGACAAAACCACTTGATTATCTCAATAGATGCAGAAAAAGCTTTTGATAAGATTCAACATCACTTCATGATAAAAGCCTTAAGTAAACTAGGAATAGAAGGAATGTACCTCAACATAGTAAAGGCTACATATGACAAACCTAGAGCCAATATCATATTTAATGGAGAAAAACTGAAACCATTTCCCCTAAAATCAGGAATGAGACAAGGGTGCCCACTATCCCCACTCCTATTCAACACAGTCCTGGAATTCATAGCCAGAGCAATAAGGTAAAAAGAAGTAATGAAAGGAATACAATTAGGTAGAAAAACTGTCAAAGTATCCCTACTTGCAGATGACATGATCCTATACCACAAAGACTCAAAAAATTCTACCCTAAAACTCCAAAATATCATAAACAGCTTCAGCAATCTAGCAGGGTAAAAAAATCAGCTTACAAAAATCAGTAGCCTTTGTATACACCAACAATGAACAAATTGAGAAAGAATATATGAAAACAATTCCATTTACAAATACCTAGGAGTAAACTCAACAAAGGATGTGAATGACCTGAACAAGGAGAACTACAAACCTCTGAAGCAAGAGATTGAGATAGACTACAGAAGGTGGAAAAATATTCCGTACTCATGGATTGGTAGAATCAACACAGTAAAAATGGCTATACTACCAAAAGCAATCTACATGTTCAATGTAATTCCCATCAAAATCCCAATGACATTCATCACAGAGATTGAAAAATCTATCCTAAAATTCATTTGGAAACACAAGAGACCGCGAATAGCCAAGTCAGTACTAGGCAAAAAGAGCAATGCTTGATGTATCACAAAACCCAAGTTCAAACTACATTACAGAGCCATAGCACTAAAAACAGCATGGTACTGGCACAAAAACAGATAGGGAGACTAGTGGAACAGAATAGAAGACCCAGATATGAATCCACACAGCTATGCCCACCTTATTTTTGACAAAGGAGCCAAAAATATACAATGGCAAAAAGACAGCCTCTTCAACAAATGTTGCTGAGAAAAGTGGTTATCTGCCTGCAGAAAACTGAAACTAGATCCATGTTTATTACCCTGTACTAGTATCAACTCAAAATGGATCAAGGACCTTAATATCAGACCTGAAACTCTGAAGTTATTATAGAAAAGAGCAGGGAATACTCTGGCAGCAATAGGTATAGGCAAGGACTTCCTCAATAGAACTCCAGCAGCCCAGTAACTAAGAGAAAGAATGGACAAATGGGACTACATGAAAATAAATAGATTTTGCACAACAAAAGAAACGGTCTCTAAACTGAAGAGACCATCTAGAGTGGAAGAAAATATTTGCTGGCTATACCTCACACAAAGGACTGATAACCAGAATATACAGGGAGCTCAAAAAACTAAACTCCCCCAAAAATCAATGAGCCAACAAAGAAGTGGGTAACTGAACTAAACAGAAATCCAAATGGCCAAAAAGCACATTAAAAAAAAAATCCCTGACTGTAAAGGAAATGCAAATCAAAACCACACTAAGATTCCATCTCACTCCTGTTAGAATAGCTATCATCAAGAATACCACCAACAAATGTTGGCGAAGATGTGGGGAAAAAGGAACTCTCATACACTGCTGGTGGGAATGTACACTAGTACAACCACTTAGGAAAACAATATGGGGGCTTCTTGAAAAACTAAACCAAGATCTGCCATATGACCCAGCAATAAAACTTCTAGGGATATACCCACAGGAATGCAACTCAGGTTATTCCAAAGGCACCCACACACCCATGTTTATTGCAGCACTATTCACAATAGCCAAGTTATGGAAACAGTCAAGATGCCCCACCACTCACCAATGGATTAAGAAAATGTGGTATTTATACACAATGGAATTTTACTCAGCCGTGAAGAAGAATAAAATCTTATCACTGGCAAATAAAAGGATGGAACTGGATAACATCATTTTGAGTGAAGTTAGCCAGGCTCAAAATGCCAAAAATTGTGTTTTCCCTCTTATGTGGATTATAGTAAAAACAAATGCACTAATATTATTGGACATGGGTCATACACTAAGGGGAGAATGAATATAGGAGGAATAAAGAAAGGGAAGGAAACCTAAAACTTGAAAGTTCTTGATGTGCCTGCTGTAGAGGAGCGAATTTAGTTAGTAACAATAAACTGACAGAGGCCACTATGGGAAGGTGATCAGGAAGTAGCGAAGAGGTCTGGTAGAGATAAACCAATTCAGGCTGTAACACACATGTGCATGGAAGCAATGCTAAGAATCTCTCTGTATACCCACCTTTATCTGAAGCTAGCAAAAATGCTATGTCTTTCTTATTATCTCTTATGTTTTCTCTTCAACAAAATTGGAGAAGAGGGCAGAACAGGTTCTGCTTGCAAGCAAGGGGGTGAAGGGGGACAGATGGCCCAAACAATGTATACGCATATGGGTAAATGTATAAACAATTAAAATAAAATAAAATAAATAATACTATCTTCTTTGATGGGTCATTTACCTTTTATTTCCAGCTTCTTACAAAGGCAATAATTGGCAAGGTATTTCATTTGTCATTAAGAACCAGAGCATTTTCTAATTATATCCAATGAATGTAGAAAAAATGAAGACAATACAGAAGGCAGTATATTGGCTACTAAAATTCTGGTTGCAGATTTACGTTTGATTGTGCTTCTATTCTTCTTCAGTTTAATTTTCTAATACTAAATTTCTGCCTTACTAAAATTTTTCAAATACATCTAGGACAAAATATCAAATGAATGTGAGTAAGTCAAAACAAGTTTAATGTTCTAATGTGTGAGAAAAAGCAACTAGCTTTAATATGGTCCTGTGTGCCAAATATTTATTTGAAAGTAGAAAACAACATTTTAGTTAATTACTGATACCAAAGCAGTAAGAGAAAAGAGTTTAGATCAAACACCTTATTGTCTTTGCTGTTAATAAGGGGAGCCAATGGTATACTGAGTTGAACATTTGTTGAATTATCCACAAAATTTCCATGAGAAATGACAAAAAAGGTCACATCAAGAGTTCATAAATATTATAACTTTCCTCCTGGTGAGTAGTATATAAAATCTATTTTAAAGCAATGCTTTGTATATTCTAAATAAGATATTCTTTTTTAGAAGTGCCTAAAAAACTTTTTAAAATAAGGCACCAAAGAAAAATCTCAATTTCTAAACAGAGAAATCAAGGTTATTTTTGAAGACTACAATGCATAATACAGCTAAAAACAAACATATAAAAATAACAATTAAAACAGAACCTCTTAGAAATTTTAACAATGTATATTTCTAAATAAACCATAGATCAAAGCATTCAAAAGACAACAGAAACAATGAGATCACTGTATTATCAAAACTTAAAGAATACATGCAAGACAAGTCAGGAGTATTCTGATGAGGTCACATGTTCCCATTACTAAATTAGAAACCTTGAAATTAAATAAACAGGATGAGATTAGTATTTTCTTTAGTTCAGTAAACCAAAATCTCTAATTTCACTCATATAAAAATTGAAATAGTTAACACCATTTTTATTGTAGATCTTCCAAGTATGGTGTGTATTTTATATTGATAACATCTCAAATTGGTCTGGTCCCATTTCAGGGACTCCACACTCACCTGAATATCCATTGTAATGAACGACACTGCTTGCACCTTTCCACTGTCTGGCACATCTGCTTGAGCAAGTGTTCTGAACTCTCCATATTTTATATCTCATAAATTAGACCAAGATGTACCATTGGCAGAATTTCTCATTACCAAACATTAGACTGATACGAACACTCCATCTGGTACTCAATAAACAGCAAAGAAATGTTTGACATGGAGAATCACATTTAGTTTGCCTGACCATATTCTCTTGCACAATACACAACAAAATTAGAATGGCTGAGACAAATGAACAAGTAATAGGCCTTTCCATCAACCTCTCAGAAGTAAAGAACACACACACTCACACACATGCACACATACACCTGGAAGGTAAGAGTAACAGTGACTACTGTTTCCCATCACACAATCAAAATTTGATTTAAGAGCTCTGGAGGCTTCAGAAGCTCCTTTGGCAACAGATTTTAATTAAACAAGAGAAATACTGTAGTAGCTGTGATTAAGCAAAACTTAAAACTGGTAAATGTATTGAGATTTTTAAAAAGCAAAATAAAACAAACAGCATCTAATAACTAAAGGCAAGCCTATTACTAGAAAAAACAAGAGCATTCTTATTTAACATAACTTATTTAATGATCTGAATAACATTAGGATTTGAACTCAGAACCTCATGCTTCCTAGGCAGGTGTTCCACCACTTGAGCTATGCCTCCAGCTCCATTTACAAATCTTGGGAGTGTAAAAATGAATTTACAGAGTGTAACATCTGGAAGAATGCAAGCATCAAGAATAAAAAGACCAGTTTTTTACCATTTTAAACTGTGCAGCAAAATGGCACTTTAATAATACTGGTATTACCCAAATTAATTTATACTGTTTTGTGATTTTAGTATAAAAATCCCCCAACTTCCAATCAAGTGTTCATTATTTTTGCAATCACTAGTATAAATAAGAATTCTGTATCATTCAAAACATTTATTCATCTGTCAGTATTTTAACAAATGAATCTCATTTAAAATGCACTATAGACTGCTACTTTTTCTCTTCTTCTTAGGTGAGTATTCCAGAACTGGCGTCAGTTCAGCCTCTTCACTATATTTTCTTTTCTTTTTTTTTTTTTTACGGTCACTTTGATAACCACTAGAGTCACTGCCTTGGAAAACGGGGTCCTGCTCTTCCTGGTGCTTTTTCTTCTTCTTCTTCTTCTTTGGCTCTTCCTCCCAGAGACTTGTCACATTATCACTAATCTGTAGGACCGCCTCTTCCTTTGGAGCAGCATCAGCAAAATCTGCTACTTCTGTGGCACCACCATCCACTTCATATGCTTCCACATCTTTCTTCTTTTTCTTTGAAATTTTTCCAACAGCTTTCTCTGTGCTGATTTCTGCTACTTCTTCAGAAACCTTACAGCACTTGGATTGTAAACTGTAAATTAACAGTTAAAAACAATTAACAGTGTAACAGTTAAAAACAATTAACAGTGATAGGCAAAAAATAAAAAAACAAAATAAGATAATAAAATCATGTCAATATGTTAATATGCTAAGATTTACTACATGATTGTAGGTAGAATATATGGCAGAAATTTCAAATATTCTATCTGCTTATCCCTCAGCCCACCGAAATGTGTAGGGGCTATTTGATGTTAAAGGCAATGTAATTTAATATTAAATGTTAAATTCTTTGTCTCCAAAGAATCTGACTTCTCTAGAAGTCAAAACACAGTTTCTAAATTTTGGTTTGATTCAGAAAACTTTGGCCATCGACCATTAAACCCAGCATTATTACCAGAGACATCTGATCTTAAAAAAAATAAAAAATCTGGTATATAGCAAAGCAATGGAGTTTTTTGACAGACTAACCTAGTAATATTTAGTTTTCCTCGAATGCAGAATACTCCAGCAGCATCTGAGTCTAAACGAAATACTTCAAATTCTAGTTCATCACCCACATTTATGTCCAGGTTTTGCCACTGCTCAGCTGACATCTGCTCAGGTATAGGGATGGAGGCATTAAAACACCTGTGTACTAAACAGCCAATATGGCTAGACGACACTTTATTGACTGTACCCTGTAAAGAAGAAAGAACACAACATCAAGAAGAGATCCAAAGAGTTAAAATATCAAGAAGAGATCCAAAGAGTTAAAAGATGAATCAAACTTAATAAGCTTCAAACTGATCTTCAAAAGAGAAAACATTAAATTAATTGTATAATTTAATACAGAAAAAGTTAGCCGCAATTACAACTTACCAAGTCATACCAAAGCGTAACTATAGGGCACTAGAGGTTTTAGAAAGCTCAAACTGCATTAAATAATTGCATGTCAACTGTTTAACTGGATAAGCAATAACTAATCAACTAGGCCAGCCCTTCCTCAAACAGAAAACATTAGCTCCCACTGCAGGATTCCCACACTGAAACCAAGCAGAAATTCTTTGTGATATGACCTATAAATGAAAAGGACCTCAAGGCAGGAGGCATATGCTTTTTGTAACTGGAATACACATTACATATCTATAAGCAGACTGAATTTCAAAACTTAAAAATGCATTCTTTAATGATTCAATTTAACTATTAGAAGATAGTTTACCCTTTATATGTAAATCTTGAGCTTGGCTTCTTGGTTAAATCAGAAAACTATTAAAACTAACTTTCCATAAAACTCAGAATTATAAATAATGTTGACATTCACAATATTATTTAATATTAGCAACCCTTTTACACATGTGACAGAATAAAACCTCCTTATCTGTCAGTCTGGTGTCCCCACTGCTAGTTTCTATATGGTCTAGATAAACTATGGTACATTCATAGAATGGAATATTATTTGGCAATACAAGGAAACGAGCTAATAAATCAAAATGAAGAAGTCAATTTTTAATGGATATATCCTTCATGATTCCAACTAGTTGACATTCTGGAAAAGGCAAAGTAATGAAAACAGTGAAAAGATCAGTAGTTGCCAGAGATAAGTGGGAGGGTAAAGGGAATAACATGTGGGGCATAGCGAATTTCTAGGGCAGTGAAACTATTCTGTATTATACTGGAGATGCCATTCTATAGTTGCAAAAACCTAGGAAACATACACAATAAAGACTGTACTCTACTATAAATTATGGTCTTTAATGTGGAGCAGAGCAGGATGGCAGCTGAGAAGAGCCTCTGATAATTTCTCCCTAAGGCACACCAAGTGGAACAGCTATTCACACAGCAGACTACAAGAACAAGAGCTAAGGTAATCAAGTGTGAGATCATCCTGCCTTGCCTACTCTTAGTATAACAAAATGAAGATGTATTGAAGATGGTAAGAAATAGAAAGATGCTGGAGTTACCCTTTCCCCAACTCCAAGCAGCCCAAAAGAGAAAGGTGTCTCTCCCTTCGAAAAGGAGAAACAGTTAAGAATTAAGTCCAGGCTTCAGACTTGTCAGGCCTGCCACAGTGAAGCCCAACACTGGGCAAACCCCCAAAACCCCTACTGCCAGGTGAACTACCCTGGGCAAAGAGACTTATTTCTCCTTCAACCTCAAGTGGCAGAGCAGAAAGCAGGACTGCACTCACTGAGAAGCAAGGCCAGAAAACAATGAGGAGCTCAGTACTGGCCCTGCCACAGTGAAACCAAGCTCTCGGTAGAAACTGAACACCCCATACACAGTCCAGAGTTCACAAAGCCTGTAGACCAAACATGACACTGGTGGAACACACTCAAGTTTTGGCTGCCTGGATTCTAGGCTCAGAGTGGGCCTAGGGAACATCTGCTTCCCCCTGAGACTATGCAGGTATTTATGCTATGAGACTCAGGTGTGACTCAGCTTTGTACACAGTGCCTCTGCCACCCATTGCTAACCTAGGGCAGCAGTTATTGCTAGGCCAGTGTTCACAGACAAAGCTCTCAAACTGACTCCTTTTCCAGGTAGATATATGCCCCAGTGGGCCTGCATCACCACTGGCTGCTGCATGGGCCACAGTACACTGAGGCTATGCAACTCCTTGTGGTTGTAAGACTCAAGCATGACCCAGCTTAGCAGTGGTCCAAGTGGCCAAGGGTCTGCCTTGACCAACACTACCCCAATCTCAGGCAGCACAGTATGGTATAGCATAGTGTAGTACATGACTCCATTTGCTAAGGATAAGAGAAGATAATAAAGACAAAACTTGGCCCTGGAATTTGGCATTGGTCTGATGAAACTTAACACTAGGCACATCCTAATGGGCAGATCCTACCAACCCCATCCCCAGGACTCCCTGTGGACAGAGCCTCTAAATAGCTCCAGAGACAGGGGATGACATGCAACCTCAGTCTAACTGACTTATATTACAGTTAGCTGGTTACAAAGATCTTGGGTCACACTTCAGCAATAGGTAGCCCAAAAAAGTGCAGTCTTTGGTCCTAATTGGTCTTGGTGGGATATGGGCTCAGAGTGCTACATAACTTGGCAGCTTTGGTGGCTTCAAAGTATGACACAGGACCCCGGGGCTGGTCCACCCGTAGTGAAACTTCCCAGAGCTAGGCAGAATCCTGCAGTGTCTGACTATAGGCCTGTTACTGTTGATGAGGCATCAGGGTCTACCCTGACTTCAGGGATAGGCTGGCAGTGGAGACAGACTATTTTTTCTAGGTATTCTCGTTTCCTTCTGAGCAATATACCAACAAAGTACTTGAGACAAACCTAGACTTGAACTGCCCCTTTGTACTGAAACTGACAGCACACCAACAGCAGACTCTTGGCAAATCTGAACCTGGGTGTTGTTTAGTGCTAAAGCAGTAGAGGTGACCACAGGCTCACTGTTTATAATTCTGGAAAGCAACCTGTTTATAATTCTGGAAAGATAGGCACAAACAAAGCTAGATTAGGAGAATGGAACAAACACCTGATCCTTCAATGCCCAGATGATGGCACATAACAACAAGCATCAAGAGCTTTCAGTTAGTACTCAAAACACAATGACAGAAACTGACAAGGCAGTAATCAGTATAAGGGAATGCATAGAGAATTTAAAACAGCTGTTTAAAGAAAACTCAATAAGCTTGAAGAAAACACAGAGAAAAGTTTCAATACTCAAAGAGAAACTTAACAAAGAGATGGAAGCAATTAAAAAACAAACGAAAATTCTTGAGCTGAAAAATACATGCGGCAAAATTAAAAACATGCTAGAAAGCATCAACAGAATAGATCAAACAGAAGAAAGAATTACTAAGTTGGAAGGCAGGCTATTTAAACTACAACTGGAGGAGAAAAATGAATGAAGAAAGCTTACATAAACTTTGGGACATAAAAGAATATATATCCACGTTCTTGGGTTACAAGGCTTAGAATGCCAATGCGGGGGGAAGCTCATTCAAAAAAAAAAAAAATACTAACAGAAAACTTTACAAATCTAGAAAAAGGTACAAATATTTAGGTCCAAAAAAGTCAAAGGTCTCCAGTCAAATTTAACTAAACCAAGTCTACCTCCAAATCATCTTATAATCAAGCTGTCATAGGTAAAAGATAAAGCAAAGATTCTCAAGGCTACAACAGAAGAGAAACAACAGAGAGGGGTATGCCAATTTGTCATCTTAGCAGAAACTTTCTGAGCCAGGAGAAAGTAGCATGAGATTTTCCTAGCACTAAAGGGAAAAAAACCCATCAACCAAGAATACCGCACCCAACGAAGATATGCTTTAGAAATGAAGGAGGGATAAAGATTTATCTAACCAAAAGCAGAGAGACTATATCTCCACCAGACTTGGTCTAAAAGAAAGGCTAAAGAGAATTCTTCATATGAAAGATTCATTAATGAACAACAAGAAAACAGGAATATACAACACTTACTGGTAAAAGTAATTATATGAACAAATTCACAATGCTCTGATACCTTAAGTGTGGTAACAATTCCTATCTTTAATATAAAGACTAAAAAACTGAAAAATAATAACTGCATCAATATGTGAATGACTATATTAATAAGTTAAGTGATAGGCAATGTAGAAAGATGTAAAATAAAATGGGATATCAAAAATTCAAAATGTGGGGATTAATGGAATGCAATTGGAAAGTTCTCTGATATTTTGTTTTGTTTGTTTTTGTTCTCCTTTCAGTCATGTTCAGTTATTATCATTCAAAATAGCTTATTAAGGGGCACAGGAAAGCAAAAAAAAGAAAGAAACAAACAAACCACAAAATAACTTATTTTTTTGGTGGTAGTGCCAAAAAAAAGTCTATAATAGACAAAACAATCATAAGCAAGGAATCAAAACACACTACTAGAATAGATCACTTAATCACCAAGGAAGACATAAGAGAAGGAGAATGAAACTACAATAAAAGTAGATAACAAGTTACATTATATATGGCCATTACGCTATAGTAAGAACTTGCTTACCTACCTACCTTGTATAAATGGATTGAATTCTCCAACTAAAAGACAGTGACTATAAATGAATAAAACAAAACAAAAAACAAGACCCAGGCTTAGCGATGTAGCTAAATGGTAGAGCACTTGATTAGCATGTGCAAGGCCCTCAATTCAGTTCCCAGTACTACATGGAGACAACAAAATGAAACAAAACCACAAAAAAAAAAAACCACAAGACCCAACCATGTGTTACTTACAAGATACTTCACCTCTAAGAACTCATATACAGTAAAAGTGAAGGGATGGCATAAAATATTCCATTCAAATGGAAGCCCGAAGGAAGCAGAAATCCAATAACATTGGATTTCAAAAAACAAAACCAAAAATCTTTGAATCAGAAGCAGTAAACAGAGACAAAGAAGGTCATTATATAATGACAAAGAGGTAAAGTCAACAAAAGGTAGTAACAAATTTAAATATACATGCATGCACCCAATATCAGAGTACCCAAATACATAAAGCAAGTATACATAAATGGAAATAGACTCAGCTCAGTAACAGCTGGGAACTTTAACACCCCACTTGCAACAATGAGCAGATCATCTAAGACAGAAAATCAACAAGGAAACAGTAAAACTGACATCAAAAGAACATTACAGCCAATCACTGCCAAATACATATATTTCTGAGTAGCCCATGGAATATCTGAGGATGAATCAAATGACTCAGTGA